GGGGGGGGGGGGGGGGTGGGTAGAAAGGTATACTAAAAACAATTCAATACTGTGAAATAGTCCCGTGTCGATGCATAAGCAAACAACAGTTATTGTTGTAATATGCCTAAAGATTTGAAACTGAATTTCATTGTACATAAATATTGAGACTGAATTTTTTTTTCTTTTTAATTTTACTATGAATTTCAGCGACAATGTCCAAGAAAAAATTGAAAAATGACAATACAAGAAAAGCAATTCTTAAAAAGGAGAAAAAAGTTTACCACCAATTTTGTATTCTTAGATCTGTTTTTTATTCTTTAGCTGCCAGTTCGAAAAATGTATTCCCTACGTGATCAAATATGAAACAATAACGTGGGGAGCGGGGTAATCTCCCAGATCGATCAGTTGATCTGTGACTGTCTTCTCGCTGAAATAAGATGTGAGTGATGGACAAAGAGAATTATTAGACATTAACTAAGATACTTTGAACCGTGCTCTCCGCCATGTGCATTTCATTAAATTGGGATATCCTTAAAGCAAAAGTCACAAGTCATTAGTGGAGGTCACAACCTCATGTGTTTATGTACCGTTTTACATGAATCTCAATGTTACAAAGTGTAGTTGATCATGAAACAAGTAACACATAAAAAAACAATTAATACTGAAAACAATGAAAATGATAAAGCTATTACTTAAATTGATAATTATGCTAACAATAAAGAAATTTGAACTAATGTGATGACGATAAAAATGACAATACTTTAAAATAATTATGATAATGACACTTTTCTGCGACCTTCATACTGTGTCATTCGCTGCAAAAGGACATTTCTCGGCTTGTTTTGAGCTGAGACGACCGGACGAGCCAGCGATGAGATGCCGACATCACTACCTGCATCAGCCCACATCGCTTATTGTTTGTCTTTGTTTAAAGTTTGACTACACGTATTCATTTAGAAATGTTAGATGAGAAGAATAAGATATCGGACTAAGCCTAATCTTGCAAGCCCTTTCAGTAGACGAAAAGTTTATCCGTCTCGTCTCGATTATGAAACGACTGTTTGGCCAAGACTTTCTCACTGCTTTCTTCTTATCTGCAAGTGATTTCAACTTATCGAAGCCCATATCGATTACCTTTGAGTCTAAGAAGGACTGTGACGCTAAGTCTCGTTAGGTCTTTCATAGGACTAACCAAGCAGCGTCATTCTGAATACCTTGTGGTTTATTTGTTATTGTTTTTTAAAGAGACATTCCCAACAGCATACAATTGCATTACTCCAATTTGGAAAGGACACTTCATTTGCTTACCAAAGTTACTGTAGGTTTCTAGTGAGATGTCAAATGTTACAAATGTTTCTCATTTCCAAATTCAATCCCTTAATCAGCTAGGTTACTCGGGTAGAAAAAAAATAACTAATTATTGTCTAAAACAAAAAAGTCACCCACTCCTCTGTTCTTAGCTTTCTTAGAAAGCGAAACAGCACAGCCACGGATCATCATCTAACTTTTTTTCAGATGTATATGATCTGAGACTTTTCACTACCTTAGAACTATAAAGTTCTATCTGACTTTTTTTATCGTTTTGAACCACTAAGACCTTGAGGTCAGAAACCAAATGTTCTGTCTGCTCTGTCAAAATCATAAGATTATTCGGAATCGTTATCAAGATATTCCAAGAATTGCATTTTTTTATTTTTTTTAAAAAGCTTGGGACGTTGTTAAACTCAAAATTTTGAGCGTCAAATTTCTCAAAGCCAGGACTGAGCAGACACAACCTTGTAATTCTATGTTAATGATAACAATAATAAATAGCATTTATGCTGCGCATTTCCACTTTCTAAAAAAATTCTCAATGCATATTACAAGTAATAAAGATATCTCATCTTAAAAATTAATGGACATGTGTGTACGTAAAACATAGAATTGTGTAATAATGTATATATGTATTTATATATATGAGGAAATATACATGTATGAGGAAATATATGAGGACATATATGAGGAAATATGTGAGGAAATAATATATGAGGAAATATATGAGGAAAATAGTCACGCAGTGAGCCTGGCAATGCGTTCACCAAAAGTAGCTTATTGTTTCCTCTATGGCGCAGTTGTCTTGCCATAATAATATATCATAACCTGGAATTGAACCTTTTTTTTTCTTTCATTATGCGGCCAGAATTTGGAAGCTGCTGTACTTCAAACCCTGTGAGTAGCAGAAATCATGTCTGGCTTTTGGGCATCGTGGAACTATAGTCGACACGGGAGATGCCTCCGCTTCTCTTTCCTTGTGATTTGTAAGGACCTTTGAAAATACGTAATAATAATATTATCAATGTATGCTGCCTTCAGCTGTTTAGTTGTTTGTTGTTTTGTTTTTGTTTGGGGGTTTTTTGGTCTTTCTTTTCTTTTTTTTTCTTTCTAGTTTTCTTTCTTTCTTACTTTCTGCCCATCTTCCTTTTTTCTTTCTTTTTTTCTTTCTTTCTTTCTTTCTTTCTTTCTTTGTTTGTTTACTTGTTTGTTTATTTGTTCATTAGTTCTCCAAATCCGACGCATAAATAGAACATTCTACTGACTTTACTAAAAAGCTAATCGGTATATTGATATTCTTTTATTACAGCTTTTGTTGTTGTTGTTGTTGTTGTTGTTGTTGTTTTGCTGTTGTTGTTGTTGTTGTTGTTGTTGCT